GTAATGTTATGCATAACTCCTAGAAAAATGCAAAACTACCTTTTCATTTACATTCCTATTTCACCAGTGATGAAATGATCATAAACTCCTTTTTAGGTTGTAAGTCATATCAATACTTCATGCATGAGCGCCTTATCATGTCTTTAGTGTCAGGGTCATAAAGGTTTGGAATTCAGTAATCTTTCATTTCAATGCCTATTAATCACGTCTATTGTTCTAAAAAGGTGGATGTGAAACGAAGCATGGATGATGGTGAGAAACGTTTCAATCAGCTTTCAATTGAGGAGAGGGGCAAGTTTGATGAAGAGACACTTGTGAATGTGAACAGCATCAAGAGGAATAAAGGAGGCAGCCAAAGGTCAAGTGGTTTTAGCAACGAGTACATTGTGGTATGTAACAGATCACACCAGGCCTGTCAAATAGTATCTTATGTGCATGCAATGAGTATCTTTTTGCTGATAGAGTTGAGATGCCAATTGTGATTCACGAATTAAGATTTTGTCTTAAAGAAACACTGTTTTACAAACTTATATTCCAGTAGGGGGGGGTGGGGGGTATGATTTCCATCGTGTATACTGTGTACGCTTGTGTGATTGAATATTTCTGATTACCTTGTTTTACTAGTATCACTCAGCACAGCAGTGATCACATGATATCTAAGCCTTATTAATTTCATATTTGCAGATAACCATATTGGTTGCTGCTGAGGGAGTACATAAGCTGCCGGTTATAAATAGCAGCAATGACTTAAAGACAGCTCTACAAAAGATGGGTGCCATACCATCAAGCAAAATACTGGTATTTCTTGCTCGTTTCTTTTTTCTCTTGTTATATCATCAAGTTTAAATTCTAGTCTACCATCCCTACTCAGGAGTATGGATGAAAACGGATCGGATACGAACGGATATCACTCATATTATATTTGTTTTTATATTTTTGTTCGGATTCGGATTTGGACACGGATAGCGTTCGGATACATATACGAATACGGATTGACTCGGTTACGGATACGAATAATGAGTATCGAATACGATATGAATCGGATTCGGAGAAGGTCGGATACAAATATCTATTCGGATATTGAGTAAAAGCAGCATATATATATATATATATATCCAAGTGGGAACTTATATATGGGCCAACTAGCTTAGCTAGGGTTATAGAGGATTGGGCCGTTTGGGCAAGAAGTAATATTTTGGCCCAATTTCAAAAATCACAATTCGAGAAAAAAAACAAAAAAGCAAAAAATTATTGTTTGAGGCCCTAAATAAATTCAAATGAAAATGTTGTAATCAACAAAGTTTCATAACTTTTTGTGATCTAAAACTTTCATTTTGGTTGTTTCTCCATCTGAGATTCCGAGGTCGTTTGAAAAATCCAAATTTTAAATTTGAGAAATTCAAACGTAATTTTTCTTGACAAGATGATTTCAAATAAAAAAGTTTTCAACTATAAAGTTTCATAAATTTCTGAGATCTACAACTTTTATTTTAGTCATTTGTTCATCCGACATAGTGGTAGTAATATTATTCACGAATCTCACATATCTCTCTTATAGTTTATGAAACTACAAGAGAGAGATGTAAATTTTGTGAACAATGTTACTACCACAATCTCGGATGAACAAATGACTAAAATAAAAGTTGTAGATCTTAATGAGTTTTACAACTTTTATGTTCATGACTTTTTCAGCTGAAGTCATTTAATGTTTGAAAATGACGTTTGAAGTTACTATTTTTTGAAATTCAAAATTCAAATAGATAGAATACAGTCACATGAAAAGATGAACACAATAATAGCTATAAGAACACAATAAATTGATAGAACATGATTTTAGAAAATTTTAGAAAAAAAATTATCAAATTTGAAGTTAGTACGAGGGAGAAAAATTAGATTAAAAAGAGAAATATGCGTTCTTTAACCATTTCGAAATTGAAATTCAAATAGCATTTTGAAGCACTAAATGATTTCAAATGAAAAAGTTGTAAACAATAAAGTTTCATAACTTTTTGAGATCTATAATTTTTATTTTGATCATTTCTCCATCCAAGATCGTTTGAATAATATCCGGATAATATCCGTTTGAATAATATCCGGATATATCCGATACTTAATCGGATTATCCGATATCCGTCGGATATCGATGATATTACATTCGTATTTGATATCCGCCTAAGATATCCGTTTTATTATCTGTATTCGAAAAAAATTATGGATATCCGAGTAACTATCCAGATAAATGTTCATATTTGTTCGGTCGAACGGACGATCGAATAAATATCCGTACCGTTTTCATCCATACTCAGGAGTCATTCCATGTCGAGGGCCTCTTTGGAACGTAGGATTCTAAAAACACAAGAATTGGAAAAACATAGGAATAGAATGTCCTAACATTTTGAATCCTATGGATTGAGAAAACACATGAAACTGCAAGATTGATCAGGATTTTGACGAGAGTGACACAAAGGAAACTTTCATGAGATTCAACTTCTTGATAAAATTCCTCCAAAATTCCTATGAAACAAGCCATTTCATAAGAATATCACAGGATCTGTAGGAATCCAATCCTTTGTTCCAAAGGGGTTTATAGGAAAATTTCCTATATAGGATTTGAATCTCTAGCATTATTCCATTTTTCCTTTGTTCCAAAGGGGGGCTGATTGTATTGGGGTAAAATAATGTTAACTGACAGCAACCGGTTGTCACCAACATCTACAGTTCTGTAAAATGGTATTTGCTCCAAAATTTGATCCAGACTGGTCCGAACATAGTTCTGTAGTCCATTTCTGTTGTATGAGGCTGTCAGATATAGTTAGCAAATTTAAAATTGCAGCAAATCAATGTTGTGTTGCAGTGACATACTGACATTTAATAAGCAACATCTTGCTAGATTTTCTTTGAGGCGAAGACGGTAACATACTAAGGGGGTGTTTGGATCCAGTGACTAAAATTTAGGAGGTGTCATATGGAGGTGTCGCATGGGGTGTTCGGATACTAATAAAAAAATAAATTACAGAATCCGTCAGTAATCCGTGAGCCGAATTTATTAAGCCTAATTAATCCGTTATTAGCACATATTACTGTAGCACCACATTGTCAAATCATGGGCTGATTAGGCTTAAAAAATTCGTCTCGCAAAACAGTCTCAATCTGTGCATTTAGTTTCGTAATTAGTCTATATTTAATACTTCGTGCATGTGTCTAAACATCCGATGGGACAGCGACTAAAATTTAGGAGGTGAATCTAAACACCCCCTAACATCTTGCTAGATCACAAAGCATTTAGTCCAAGTAAGATGTGGTAACTCGGAGTTAGAGATGAAACCAACAAGAGCCTCACAAATTCGCTCTAAAAAATAAAGGGAAAATAAAAATAAGAATAAAAGAAGGGAGAGAAGAAGAACTAAACGAACCAACATCTTGCTAGCCTACTTTCTTTTAAAATTCAGGTTGTCTGCATTTTGTTCATATTCATATGCTACAATAGTGATGTATGATGTTTATTAATCTTCTTTACAGGCAGTCGAGGTCCTATGGACTCCACAAAATGAGAATGACACGTTGTCAGAGCGAGAGCTCCTTGAAGATTACCCGCTCTTAAGGCCTCTGTAGAAAGATAGAGGTTGCCCCTGCAAAAGAAAGAACAAGCTGTAGATTCAGTTTTGGTGGTTTTCTTACTAACTACAGCGCAGATCTTGCGTTTGTATAAGAAGTATATAATTTGTAATTGACGTCACTGTTAGCCTTCATTTCAGAACATATAGCGCACAGTGCAAATCTGCAATTGTTCTGTCGATAGTCTTGTTCTCTGTTCCTGACACAATAACACAAACTTGTAAATAGATTGTTCTGAAAGAACGCGAGAGTCTGCACTTGTGTGTGTACCGGTTCTGATATGGATTTTTTTTTTCAAAAAATAAAAAGAATTGATGAGATATTGCATGTTAGTTCCGACTTCCAACTTCCAAAGTCCACGGTCGACAGTCTCCATGGCTGCAGTAGAATACCGTGCGTGAGATCACTGTGGGCCCCATTTTCTTGTTCTGTCTTCTGTGGAAAACAAGACCATTATGTTGGCCTGCTGCTAGTTGCCAGATTGACACAATCACACAAGCAACTTCCTAACCCAAATACTATATTACATTATGGTGGTGTTTAAATTCAGGGAGTAAAGTTTAGGGATGTCATATCGGGGTGTCACATGAGAGTATTTGAATAGTAATAATAAAAAAATTACAGAAGTCCTTAGTAATTCGCGAGACGAATTTATTAAGCCTAATTAATCCGTTATTAGCACATGTTTACTGTAGCACCAAATTGTCAAATTATGGACTAATTAAGCTTAAAAAATTCGTCTCGTAAATTAGTCGCAATATATGCAATTAGTTATTTTTTAACCAATATTTAATACTCCATGCACGTGTCCAAACATCTGATGTGATAGGGAGTAAACTTTAGGGGGAGAAACTAGTTAACAAGGCCTATGACAAGCAACGAAACTCATAAACATACTTGTACCGTTGCTGGCCTTATCTAACACGCCAATGATCAGCGTCTGATTTCAGTCTGAACACCGAATCCAATTCGCAGCCATTCTCTTCTTAAACAAAGTCCTTAACGACTCAATCGTCTACGTGTTGCAATGGTAGGATCAACTCCAGTTGAAGTAGGAACCGGCAGCTCACCAGCATCTACCAACTCGTTCATTTTCCATCGCAGATCACTCCTATAAAACCCACACAGGCCAAAGCCCGAAACCAGCAAAAAGCAGCGGCAACAGACTAACAAATCAGCCAGCAACGAACACCCGTTCCGGGAACTTTCTTGGCAAGCCAGGTGGTCACGTCAGAGTCAGACAGTAGCGAATCCAAGCCGCGAGAGCGCCGTTCTGGCTCCTGGCCGCGGCCGCGGTGGAGCTGCTGGTCGCGGCGGCGTCCGCGCAGTCCGGCGGCAGCAGCAGCGACGACTGCACGTCGGCGCTGGTGAGCCTGTCCCCGTGCATGGACTACATCAGCGGCAACGGCACGTCGGCGCCCAGCGCCTCGTGCTGCTCGCAGCTCAAGAGCGTGGTGCAGTCCAAGCCGCAGTGCCTGTGCGCCGCCCTCGGCAGCGACGGCGCCTCGACCTCCCTCGGCGGCGTCACCATCGACCGGTCGCGCGCGCTCGCCCTCCCCGCGGCTTGCAACGTCCAGACCCCACCCGCCAGCCAGTGCAACGGTATGTACGCGGCCGCCGTGGAAGTTGTTTCGGCTTCATTTCACGCTGATTGTTACTCTTTTTTCTTTTCCCTTCTCATGTTACTACTGACTCCTCCTGCGATTGGTCGCTTGCGTGCAGGGTCGTCGGGCGGCGGATCGAAGGCGACGCCTTCCCTGCCATCTGGCGGTGCGTCGCTCCGGGGCCGGCGGGTCTTGTGCTCGGGCTCGCCGCGGCTGCGGTTTACGCCGTGGCAGCTGCGTGAGCGTTGTGATTCAGGATGCGTTGCGTTGCGTCGTGTCAGCTTTCGTTTTTCAGAACGGACAGGGAGGATGTTGAGTGGTTTGTGTGTCTATGGCTTGTCCCATTCGTGAAATTGGTTGGTTCGGTGATTCCCACGGTCGCAATAAATTTGCCAGCAATGTGTTATGCGTTAGGTGTCATGGTTTCACTTTCGTACTCTCCGTATCTTACTTAAAAAAAGAGAGTTAAATGCACCAGAGATCCATTAACTTGTGACAATATTTCAGTTAGGTGCATCAACTTTAAAGTTGTTTTTTTTCTCCATAAACTTTGTACGCCGTATCACTTAGGTTCATACCTCTCCACGTTGGCTTCTCGTGCTGATGTGGCACGTCGTCGTTGTACAGGAAGGCGACGCGGACCAGGCGGACCAACAACAGACGGGGACGACCCTGCGGCCTCGACCACTGGACGCCATGGAGCTCCGGCTACGGCCGCTCGACGCCGTGGAGGTCCGATCGCGGCCTCGACGCCCGCCCTCCCCGCACGACTGCTCGACGCCATGGAGCTACGGCTGCGGCCGCTGGACGCCGTGGAGGTCCGGTCGCGGCCTCGACGCCCGCCCTCCCCGCACGGCTGCTCGACGCCATGGAGCTCCGGCTGCGGCCGCTGGACGCCGTGGAGGTCCGGTCGCGGCCTCGACGCCCGCCCTCCCCGCGCAGCTGCTCGACGCCATGGAGCTCCGGCTGCGGCCGCTGGACGCCTGCCTCCCCGTGCGCGGCCGCTCGACGCCGTGGAGGTCCGGCCGCGGCCGCTCCATGCCTGGCTCGCGCCTCTCCCCGCGCCGACCCGCCTCGACGCCATGGAGGTTCAGCCGTGGCCCTCCTCCCCGTGCCGGCTCGCCCTCCCCACGCTGGCCCGCCTCGACGCCCAGCTCGCTAGTCTCCCTCCTCTGCGCACGGCGAGCGAACTCATATAGTCGGCCACGCGCGCCTCCATGTCGGCGTCGAGCAGGATGTTGCTGGGCTTGAGGTCGCGGTGCGCCACGGCCGGCACGCAGTTGTGGTGCAGGAGGTCGTCCAGGCTGCCGTTCGGCATGTACTCGTAGAGGAGCAGCGTGGCCTCGCCGTCGGTGCACCACCCCAGCAGCCAGACGATGTTGCTGTGCCGGAGGTGGCCCAGCACCTCCACCTCGGCGAGCATGCTCCTGTTTCCGTTGCAGTTGCCGTCCGCGTCAGCTGATGGCTCCTTTCGCCGCTTCGGTGGTTGCTCCCCTCGACGCACCGCGCCATCGTCGGCGGTGAAGTCCAGCCTCTGGAACACGGTCATCCGCCACGGCCCGACGACGACGTTGGGGCGTGCACGTGCGCCGCCCGCGCTACCGCCTCGGCCGGGTCGGAGGGGAACCCCACGACCGACGCGTCGTCGATGGACCGAAACACCTGCACGTTCCACGAGTCGTTGCTGATGGGGTCGGGGAACGTCGCCGGGCTCAGATCCAGCAGGCAGTCGCGTATGTTCTCCGGCGCCTGCTTCCTCCACCGCTGCTCAAAGTTGGTGAGCACGTCCCACACCGCGGGACCTTCCAATGTGCAGTGCACGTCGTGCCACGGCTCCCGCGGGCCGCCGCGCTGCAGGGAGGGCGTGCTTGTAGTTGTTCTGCATGAAGTCGTGGAGGTACGTCGTGTCGAGGTCCCTGAACAGCGTGTGGTTCTCGTCGTCGTACCTAGTTGAACACCTCGCATCGTTAGCTCAGCTTCGGGCTCTGTTGTAGCAGCCAGAGAGCAACTGCATCAGTACCTGCCGTCGCAGAGGTCTATGCTGCCGATGAAGCTGACGATGTGGCGTTTGTCGGTGCCCGGCGTGGCTGCATCGAGCGTGATAGTCTTTTGGTGGTGCGTAAACTCGACGCTGGTCTCGACGTGCTGCACCATGGTCAGCGACGTGTCGGCGTTGCGCGGGCAGAGGAAGCACCTCACGTTGGTGCCCTCGAAGAACCTCCGGGTCTCCTCGTCGTGCGTCTTCATCAGGCCGGCGTTGCCGAGGAACGACACGGACGTGTTGTCCTGCCACGGCATCACCAGCACGGCCACCCCCTCATCAGCCTTCCGCTTCAGCAGCTCGCCCAGCGTGACGCCGTCGGCGCCGGGGACAACTGCTCGACGGCCCGCGTCGCGCACCAGCGTGATCTCCGTGTTCACCGACCACCCCGCGACGTACACGAACCGCCGCGCGTCGCCGATGGCGGTGAACAGGTCCTCCCACAGCCGCGCCGGCCGGTACGCCAGCCCGCCGTCGAGGCGGACCCCCGGGTCGAACGCGTCGGATAGGTGCGCGTTCTGGTACAGCGTGACGCTGCGGTTGGTCCGCTCCGGGAAAAACACAGGCTTGACGCCCGCGAATTCGGGGAGGCGGACACCGGCGCCCCAAAACGGGTCACGCTCCACGTCAAAGAAGTGCAGGCGGACGCGGAGGCTCGGCGTGTGCGTCTCGTGGGCGTGCTCACCGCCGCGGAGGTCGAGCCAGCACTCGAGCGGCTGTCCGGAGGCGACGCGGGCGGCGGGCATGGACCCGGCGCCGAGGACGCCCGCGCCGATGAGGTGCTGGTTCTTGACCATGAAGGTGACCGCCGCGGCGGCGTAGGCGCAGTGTAGGCGGAACGACTGGTTCTAGGCCGGGCTGGTGGGGTGGAACTCCACCTCTCGGGTGCGCGCCACCCGCGCCGCGCCGACGTCGATGTCGATGTAGAGCCGGCTGTGCTGGAGACAGTGCACGCCTGGGGACTCCTGAATCTTCTCCGTGGCCGCAGCCGGAGCTCCATGGCGTCCAGTGGTCGAGGCTGCAGGGTCGTCCCCGTCTGTTGTTGGTCCGCCTGGTCCGCGTCGCCTTCCTGTACAACGACGACGTGCCACATCAGCACGAGAAGCCAACGTGGAGAGGTATGGACCTAAGTGACACGACGTACAAAGTTTATGGACCCAAAAAACCACTTTAAAAGTTGATGGATCTAACTGAAACATCGTCACAAGTTAATGGATCTATGGTGCATTTAACTCTTAAAAAAACGTCAAGCGTGTTAATGAGCTAATACGTGAGAAAAAATTACAACATCGCATAAGTATTATTAATAGAGAGGGATATAAGTTTTATCTAGATGAAACCTACCGCACATCGTTTCCAATGCACTGGAAATTGAGTGAAACTCCATTGAGAGTGTTTTTGTTTCATCTCCATGCGTCGGAAACCGAATGTAACTCCAATAGGAATATTTCATTTCATAACACTATGCAATATTTACATACATTGACCTATACAATTGTGAAATAAAACTATGCATTGTATGAATTTGTTTATTAATATGATAAATTTTCATCACTAGAACAATCCAAAATATTACATGTAACTTTTCAAATTATAGAGGAATTGTTTCATTGTCTTACTGAACAATGAATTTCCATTGCTAGAACAATACAAAATATATGAAGAAACAATTCAAAATATATAGGAATAATTGAATTGTTATATTGGAACGACGAATTTTGACAAAAAAAGGAGCACGGAATATTTCAATTACAGAGCTGTTTTGTTGGAATAATCATTTCTTGTTGGTAGAAAAATAAAAATCTATCAAGGAACACTTAGAATGATGTGTGAACAATTTAATTATATTGTAGGAACAAAAAAGTATATACAAAACAAAATAACAATAATATAAATGTTAAAAAATCATCACAAAGGCTGAAACGAAAATATGAACAAATATGCCAGGAAATTAAAAGGAGAAGATAATATTCAATCAAATAACAATGAAGAAAAAACACAAAAAACGTTGACTACACGATCGGATCAGAAAAGGAAGAAGAAAAAGATTGCCTAGTGATGGGACATGGGCCATGGCCTGCTTTTGTAGCGGCCTGGCCGGGTGGAGGTAGGCCGACAATTTCAACACGCCAGGCAAGGAGGCAGTGGAGGCGTCGCCAAGATCGCCGAATAAAGGCATGGAGCGGATGAACCAGTACCAGACAGCCAGCACGACAAACCTTCCAAGGAAAAAATGGCGTCGCGTGGGAGAGCAACAGCAGCGCGCTTCTGGCTCTTGGCCGCGGCATCGCTGCTCGTCGCGGCGGCGTCCGCGCGATCCGGCCCCGGCGAGTGCACGTCGGCGCTGGTGAGCCTGTCGCCGTGCGTCGACTACATGTGCCGCGACGAGGCGACGTCGGCGCTCGCCCGGTGCTGCTCGCAGCTCAGGTCCGTGGCACGGTCGAGGCTGCAGTGCCTCTGCGCCGCGCTCGGCGTCGACCGGACCACCGCGCTCAGCCTCCGTGTTGTGTGCAACGTCCAGACAGTCAGCGAGTGCGAGAGCGCGTGCAGCGGTTCCGTGGGCGCGGGCTCGACGCAGGCGTTTGAAGGTGAAGGTGACGCCTTACCTGGCACCCCATTGTATGGTACGTAGCTCCAAGGGGTCGGCGTGTAATAGTCAGCGGACAAGGATGCCCAGCATCAGCGTATGTAGCTGGCACAGGTTTTCTGTTCATTTCAGTGATCAGAAATGGTGCACTCGCAGAGGCAGCATTGTCAAGCTTCAAACACTACTTGTAAACTTGTACTCAGCAAAGACATGAATAGTGCAGAAACAGAATTACACGTCTGGGCTAAAATTGATAAAACAGTTCTGGGACCCCCACCAGTATCCTGTGATTACATAGGTAGCCTCGCTGAGAAAACAATTAACACAGTTTAACTTCCAACAACTTCATGCCTCAGGCAGCAACTGTGATTGCAGCATCAACAGGTGCATTGTCGCCGACGAGTTCACGCCTCGCGTACTCCCTCGCCCCATCCTTGTCAACAATCTTGATCACGAAGTTCTGGGGGGCGACAACCAATCGCAGCCGAATCTCCTTAATGCACTTGTCAACAAGATCTACTGCTTCCTCAACAGTCATGTCCGGGTGGTACAACTTGTCCATCAGAGACAAGCAGAAATATGATCCGTACCCAAAAGCACCCTTGTCAATCTTGTGCAAGGTTGCAATGTAGTCGATGTAGTACAGGGAAGCGCCAACATCCTTGTCATAACCACCAAGAATAATATTGACCATATATGGATTCTGACAACGTAAACATGAAACATGTGTCAGGGGAGAGGGACATGTTAAAACCTCAATAAAGAGGATAATACATAGCTGACAAAATGCAGAAAAAGATGTTATCAACGTAAGTGCTCTTAGAAAAACAGCAAAACAAACAAGCATTTATTAATTGGCTGCAATTCTTTATGAATGGGATGACAAATGGTGGCACATATGCAGCACATTTCATGGCCGCAGCAAGCATCAAAAGCAAACAGTTGGAATTCTTAAAATGAAAACAGCCCAGTGCTCCCTCGAAGTACAATTGCAATCAGAGGCCAATGCAATTCAAGCACAGGCAAATACTGCAACATCACTCCACAATTTGTCTAGAAAATAATATTAGTAGCCATGACTATTATTCCAGGCCCATAGATTTCATATTGCTATATCAAGTAAAATCTAAACTTCCATCTGCATATATAGTGAAGCAACATTGATCAAGTAAAAATCAAAATACCACAATATACTGTACAGTTGCAATTACACCCAAGAAATGATTGACAGGAAAAATACAAAGAAACAAAAAGGGTATAATCTTCCTGAAAGGAAACATAATAAACAGTCCTACCCATTGCAACAATCAATCTGAAATCTCAGAGTGAATCTAGTAGTACATGGATTACTGGTGTCTACAGGAGCTCCATGAACATGAACCTACCGCTGGAGAACTGAAAGCATGCTGCTAAAATTGTTGGGGAATGCAAAGCATACACCATGTGTAGCGAGACTATTCCACCTAATCTGCAACAATGTTTTACTTTGACTTATCTTAAGACTTGCTTGGGTCTAGGCGTATGGCCACACGATAAATTATGATATATATACCAAATAAACGGCAGACATCGCACAACGAAGATAGGATGTAAATATGTAATCATTTTTTAAAACTATTCTGGCTCAAAGAGAATATATTACCAAGATAACTAGACGTCAAGGAATAGACAAAATATAACATAAATATGATTTCCACAGCCTAAGAATTTTGCAAGTAGTCCACATCACACAACTGTGCTACAATTTAAATACAGGAATATTTACCACAAATTTGCTCAAACTAGAAGCAAATACTGAACAAAAATGCTGCTAACTGATTCTAGGAGCAAATTTCATATGCAAACACCATATATTTCGCCTCAAACAACACAGGGGATGACCTTAAACTATACATACAGAGACATTAAAAATACAATCTTTAGCAAGCCTGCACGATTTAATTCGTCAAATCTTATTGGTTCAGTGCTGCTATGTGATGTGTTTGAAACTCGAAGATGTTAGGTTATTACTGAACAACTGAACCAGTTCATCCACAAACCATTTTTTTTTCCAATGGGTAAAGTGCTTAGAAAACTTGAACACACGTCTCTTACCCCCTGTTTCAGTTGCCCATAATTCCTCAATCGCACCACCCATATGCCCCTGGCTTAATGAAATCAGCCCCCCTTCACAAAACTAAGCTTGCTCTTTAATCACCATCGACTACAAATTGAACACCATGCAATAAAATCCATCCAATCGAACCTTGAACACCCGCGTCGGCCTTACCACCTCACTACGCCTAACCCTAATCCACCCTGAACCAAACTCTAGAAATCGAATTCTACTCTAAAAGCTCGACCTTTTTGTAGGCAAACCCAGTAACGCAAAGAAAGGAACATGATTAATTCGGACTGGTACCTTGCGAAGGGCTGTAGCGAGCTCGCCGCGTGTGAAGTTGGCGGCGGCAGCTGTTGAGAGCGGGATGGTGTTGCGGAACTGGTACAGGTGGAGGTTCTTCTGTATGAACTCCGTAAATTGCACCCTGCGCCAACAGAAACGCCCCCCAATCAGAACCCGCAGAAACCCAGGCAGATCGGGATCAGATCGCGCGACACACACAAAACCCTACAAAAAGCGAACATGGAATCGACGGGCCGGGCGGCCGAACGGACGGATCGGCGAGGGCGGAGGAACCTACCGGTCACCAGGCTCCCCTGAAGCGCCCATCAGCTTGTGCGAGTCGAGGACCATCACCTTGTCCTCGTCGGTCTTGTGGACGAGGATGCTCTGCACGGCGGAGGTGTCGGCCGCCACCACCGCGAAGTCGCGGCCAACCACGCCCAAAACGCACTCCATTGCCGGGACTGGACTGGATTCCTCGCTTGCGTGCTTCCGATGTTGCGCGAGGAGAGAGAAACGGGCGTATATAGACAGGCAGGGGGAGGAACGAACCGGAAAGAGTTCACCGAGTTCGTCTTGGGGTAGAAGAAAGAAGAGAGGCGTTCGGATTTTTTTTTTCTTTCAGGCGGGCCTGATGTCTTCGCAGCTGTGTTGCGGGCTGGCTGGGCTTTCTTCTGTTGCTTTGATTGCTATGTGCGGGCTGGGCAGGCCTTCTTTTCTTGTTGTGATGAAATTGCAGTAATCAGAAACCAAAATTTACTTATCTCAATGGTGCAAGCCGTAGGCCCCCTTAATTTATTTATTTATATATAGTCCAGTGCGCCCCTTGATTTATATTTATATAGTCAAGTGCTGACAACCCTTTCCTGTTACAACCACAACCAGTGTCGGACACGCGGGATTTACCGATTCGAACTCCTGTGTGTTGGATTAAACTCGTTTACGTTAAGCCCCAGCTTTCGCTCTCAGGCACGCAAAAACAGATAGAGACCGGGCAGCATGTAATGCAGTCAATGGAATATTCCAGCGATTACAACCGGAACGGAAGGAAATTTGTATCATCGTATCATACTTTCATGAAAAGAACAAGCAAATCTACGTAGCTTTTGTCATCGTATCACAGATGACAAATATCTACTTACAACCGCCAAAACAGAGCCTTGGAAATTTACCGTGGGAATGTGGGGATACATGGATGATGTGTATGAACAATTTGAGTTACAATCACCTAAACTAAACACACGGCACCGGGAAATCACCTCCATTGCCACCGCAGACAGAGCGAAGTGACGCGCAAAGGCAACATGCATGCGCAACACTTGGCAGTCCAAACCATGCTGCATTATCCGTTCAGTGCCGCTTCATTCATGTAAAGTAAGTGGGAATGGGATACCCATATGGCCCATCATGCAGTGCAAGGTTAACTGCTAGCTATAAAAATTATCTCGAGACACATGCCGCTATGTATCTATTCAATCACTAGGTTGTCAAGAAGAGGACGTTCCAGATGTACATTACCGCCGACCATTTTGCCGTTCAGCAAGCTCCTGCGCATAAAAATAACTCTATCAGTCCAAAATGTTGACCCTTTTTCTCTTAAACGGACGCTAACTAAGACAGTGTTGTACAGATGCAACCAGAATGTTTCAATGATTTACATCCTGCCTTCCAAGATTTCCTCTCTAGCATGTCACGAGCATCTAACCAAAAATCTATGCAAATGGGATTTTTACTATAGCCAATGCAATGTCAGGAGAGCTCCTAACAATGTTCACCAGGCAGGCACCAATAGCAGCCCAGTAATTGAAACCTCAGTTTTGAAGCAAATGCAATCAGAATATAAGTTACTTGTGACAATGTACAGGCTTGCAGATGCAGATATTATCTGGGGGGCAGGAGCATCAAAACCTTACACTCGTCGATGGGAGCTCCGCCATCACATTGTTGCTATCCTCCTGAAATACCATAACACTCGTAAAAGGGATTCCAGATATAAAAAATATATTCCTCAACTCTTAAGCTAAAAGTATAACTTATCACCTCAAGTAATAAATCTTTTCTGGTAATCAATCCTACAACACGAGAAGGCCTAGGAACAACAAATATATGTCTCAATCCAAGTTGACGGAAGAGATTGTACACCTGATATCATCGGTATAAAGATTATCACATAACTGACTCAGCAAAATAGATGTAAGATCCAAAAGTAAAAGACATGATTTACCTTTGCCAACGACATGTCCTCTGGCACTACATATGGTGAAGGATTTAAAAATGGGGCAAGATCCAAATACAACCCCAGTTCATCCTCTGTCAAATGAATGTCATCAATTGACTTTCCTTTACTTGATGCTGGTTTAACAAAGTCACTCAAATTGTGCCTAAGTAATAGAAAAAATATTGGATTAGTACCAGAAAACGTGCATTGGATGTGTTATTATATTGGCTTACATAAAAATAAAAACAAAAACCTGTTCAGTACGCCTGGCCCACAAGGGAAAGGACTATTCTGGAAATCTACTTTAGCTTGTAGAAGTACCAGTAAGTGGCTGCAACAAAAGGACAACAAAATCGTTGTATTGATTAATATATGCATAATATAATTCACTTTACTGGCCCATTGACTTGTCATAACTTATTGACCTAGGTCTCCTTCACAGAA